TCTATGTAGTAGGTGTTCTTCGTGCCGCATCAATTGGATATAAAGACTCATGACCTACAAGTTTTTATTTTGTCATTTCAAGATTGGCAGATATTTCCCATGGACATTAGTTAATGTTGAAGCAAGTGTTAAACATGCTTACCGCGCCATTGACTTGCTCATTCCCAAGAAAAAGACAATCCATGTCATCTCTTGCTCCCCAACAATCATCGATTCTGACAAACATATTTTGCAGATTGTGCTGCATCAGCAACTCCACCTAGGACGTCACCTTCTTGTACTTCATTGTCGCCATCTTCCACTGGATTCTCATTATTATTATCAGCTAGGAAATAGATAAAATATTAGAACATTTTATAATATGGTACTATAGCATCAAATCATTAGTATAACAGTAAGTATTATAGGAAAAAAATATTATTACTAAGAGATAATACCATGATTACCACCAGACGTCCCTTCATCTCTACTCTCTGGCCATTGATTATTAGTAGAAGCCGCGGTTGTAGATGGTGGAGTGAATGGACTCCCACTGTGACGGCATATATTTGTTCCATCCTGTCTCCCTCGTGGGTTATATACTGAGGATAAGCTAAGGCGTCATAACAACCATGCCATGCCGGATATATCTTGACGACGATCGGTCTTTCCATATACAACCACACTTCTATCAAACATCTTTGTGGATCGTTCCCATCCATCCAAATAGCAGCAACTTGGGATGCGGTTGGGGCATTGTACCTTCTTTGGTCAGCGTGATATTTGTATTGAGTTCAATCCGGTACTCATCCAAGTTTGGAAAATCCCCATTTCTCCTAAAAGTCCGAACATATGGGTTATCTTGCAAGATTGCTAGGATAGTCCGAATGATGTTGATATCAAGATCGGGGACCTTTTGACTCTATGTGATAAGGCCTCATCTTACGTATCATAAAAGTAGAGCGCAAATGCCGAGCACCATGGCCACAGCACCAGTGGTCAAGGCGGTGGTACAGCCCACCATGAACTCGAAATGTATAAACACGGTCCCCTCATTGGACTTTTATATCTCATCATCATTGGTAACCCCTAGACTTGCAAAGGAGAAATGTGAGTTGATATAACTTTATTGTTTCTGAAATATTTTGCATCATCGTGCACTTGACTTGTGAACAACCTTTTGAGCTCTGCGGGAACATCCGGTATATGTATACGTACTTTTCCTTTTCTACAACAAAACCCGGTGTCTCACCCGAAACCTCATCGCACCACAATAAGCTGCAGTGGGGACCTTTCTCAATTTATGTCGATTCGGCGAGTTCGGTAGATGTAATCATATGGATCATCATGTGTCACACTGTTTGTAGCTGGACCCTCTGGAAGCACACGATATGACTCATAATCATGACCTATGTAGACATTGCAGTAATTATTTTCATTTAATATATAAACACGCCAAAGTGAAGCTAGACTTGTAACCAGGCATATATATTGTTGTCACAGTACCTTGCGCATGTTGGTGAATGACTCCATCATCGTATAAGTTTTCATTCTGCAATCCATGGCCGGCGTCTATGGCATCTTCATCACCGTCCCAACCATCATGCGTTGGTTCAAATAGTTCACGGTCAAATTCTTCTTCATTGTGTAGTTCAGGTAAATGAAGTTCTGCAAATATTTTAAAAATAAGTATGCTAACATATATTTAAATTATATTTTATTGAAAAAAGCATGACGTTGTTGTGCTCGCTTGACTCACCGGAAGTAGGCAATGGGCCAGGAGGGACCGTACATGTGCGTCTAGCTCGTGGAACGTAATTATCATTTCGGTGTAGCCACTCTGTGGGATCTGCTAACTCGTCATCTTCCAATATAGTTGGTAAGCCAGTTCCAAAAGCTGCACCTTGACATAGCAGGGACAACAGTTAATGATGTATCAGTTGGTTGAGAAAATGCACAATTTGAACAGTTATTATATCTCACCAGCTGTTGAAGACGCCGGCAATGTTTGGGACACAACAGAGGTGGGGCTATTATTTTGCATTGCAGCTTTCCTCCGTGCTCGGTATTCACGTTGTTTCCTATTAGCTTCCTCCCTTTGTTGATCGGTCATTTCAGCTCTTCGTTTGCGTGCACGTGCATTCCTTGCTTCCCTCCTAGCATCGGCACTGTCTGTAGGTCTCGTCTCTAGAGACAAAGGCACATGTTAAAGTCAATATATAGAGATGGGGTGTGTAGACATAAAAAGTGTGTTTCCTTTACAAAATAACCATCACTTATACCTAGGTCATTGTCGCTTATGTCCACAGACAGCGTACTGACTCTTGTGTTCGCCGTGCCTACGCCAACATCTCTACTATTTGTTTCCATATCTCCGTTGGAAAATATATTTGGCGTGTTTTCATTCTGTGGGTCGGCAGTTTCGTCAAGTCCTATGATTGGGTGGCACAAAATGGTTGACCTCTACTTAATCAAAACGGGTTATGGTGTAATAATAAGTGTCCAAAAATAGAAAGAGATTAAATACCTATGGACGATGCTGAAGTTAACGACACCGTCTCACGCAAAGCAGCGGAAGTGCTACTATTCTGGGTTGCATGTTTCTTCCGTTCTCGGTACTCACGTTGTTTCCGATTGATCTCGTCCCTTTGTTCCATGGACATATCAGCTCGACGTTTCCGTTGCTGCATATTCCTTTGCTCCCTCCTCCACGATTCCTCATCTAAAAATATGAAAACGTCCTTCCAGTAAATAGTGAAAAATATGAAAAGGTTTGCATACGAAAATATTTTAAGTATACCTATGACATTGGTGATATCACCTAGTGGTTCGCGTGTATATGTCGGCGTAATCATTTGGCTGACGTTGGTGATATCACTTAGTGGTTCGCGTGTATATGTTGGCGTAATCATTTGGCTTTGCGCTCCGCGCGTATCTCTCGGCGTAGACATTTTGCTCTGACCGTCACGTGGATCTCCCGGGGGATCTCCCGGCGTAGACATTGCCTCTTCCCTATGTACACAATTATTATTATCTCCGCTTAAATTAACATTAACATGGACACAGAATTACCTTGAACTCTTATGCGTGATAGCTACGATGGTGTACCCAGGCGTGTAGTACAGGTGATCTCCAGGTCGTTTTAGCAGCGAAACCAATCACCACCGAGCATCCAGAACCTGGAGACAAGCAGGATTAGGTACAACCTCTGGAGACAAGCATGATTAGGTGTTGTCAACCAGAAGCTACAATGTTAAGGATAAAATGTCACATATAGGTATAGCAATCATTCAATGTTATGATTCATTAGATTTGGGAGGCTCAGTCACACCAAACAAACACAATAGTCATGAGATGACATGATAGTGCAGATAAACATATTGGAGCTATAGCTTTAGCTTCCCAGTGTACACCCATGAAACAGAATCGTGTTTTCACAATGGCTTGGCTTCACAGGTGCATCAAGTTTTAAGCTTTGAAACTATGTAGTGCCAAAGTTTACGCAAAGCATTAATCAATTCATTGTCACTGGCTCTAGATTTGAAGAAAGGCAAGGCAAACCTAAGCCCAGGCATGCAGGCATTCAAATAAACCCTAGCCTTCACGGAAATAAAAAAAAAGGAAGGCAAGGCAAACCTTCAAATGCGTGAGGTCTCAGGCTTTGTCCGTGGAGGTGGGGGCACTGGCCACGCGCATGATCTCTGTGGAGCTTTCGGAGTCGACGTTGCAGACGACACTCGATGTAGATCACGATGGAGGGACGTGTCGCCGCCGCTGATCGTACGTCGCGGAATCGCCGTTGCTGGTTGCCGTGATCAGGATCCCAGTCGTCCTCCGTCGTGGACTGCTAGCACGGGCACGTCGCGGAATCGCCGTTGCTGGTTGCCATGACGGACGGGCGGGCGTCGGGCTTCCTTTTTTTTCGTCGATGACGGATGGGCAGGCGTCGGGCATGCTCGCGCGGAAGGGAATTTTTGTTTCCTTTTTTTCGTCGATACGGACGGCGTTTGTTTCCTTTTATATGGACGGGAGCGTTGAAGCCTCCGTGATGAGTCTCAAGTTTTCAATTATAGTAGAGATAAAATTTTTTATCGAACTGTTTCAAACACACCATTAGGATGCATTGTTTAGGAAGCATTGTTTGGGTGCTATGCCAATAAGTCACGAGATTAACAAGTCTAGCGCTTTCTTCCAATGAAAAGATTATAATTAAGTGCACAAGGGCACCTATGTTAGGCCACAGTCGCAGCTTAGATAGGCGGACGAACTTAACCAGGAGCGGGAGACGTGATCCATTTTTGGAGACCAGCTATATAATTAATTAATTAACTAACAAAATAAGTGTAACATGTAACCTTGATCTGGTAGACCTAGTCCATTTTTATGGAGGCCACCAATGTAATTAATTAATTAATTAAAAATAGGAGTAATATCTACCCTTGATCTCATTGTTTAATGGACCTAACCTAGCGTGATTCTGACCTATATTCGTGCTTGAACTTGGACCAGTGGCCATCTCATTCTCACACATGGAAAGGCTAGGGGAAAATGGAGAGGATGCGGCAGTAGATTCACATTCCGAAGCACGCTTAGAGTGGCTGAGGTGGCGGCTACGTTAGGGTAGGACGCCGCGTGGAAGTGATGACGCGCGCTTGGGAGTTGGAGGAGAGCACGGTGGCTGCATGCCTTCCCGCCGCCGCTCCTACTCTTGCTTGGATTGGATTGGCCTGCGTTCACATTTTCACAATTCATCATCACGATTTTGATTTCGATTCCGACTCCGATTCAAACTGCAAACTCCCTCCACCATTTTCTTTTCTGTCTATCGATCTTTTCATCCCAAGCGATCCGATCCCATAGATTTATATAGGCAACACGCCGCTTCTTGAATTCTGATCCCCAGCCGATTCGGTTCCATACCAAACCATCAAACCAATCCAATCCAATCCCGCCTAAAACCCTACCCCGGGGAGGAGCCGGAGGAGAGTAGCAGATCAAGCGAGCCGTCGAGGAAGAGAGCAATGCCGCCGCCGCCGCAGCTGCCCTCCGATCACCCCACGCCCCGGCCGCGGCCCAGGCCCCCGCCTCCGGCCCGCAAGAGCTCGGTCCCCGTCCACGCCGCCAAGAGGGCGCCGCCGCCGCCAGCTCCCGCCGCCGCCGCCGCCAAGAAGATGGCGCGCCCGGCGTCCGCGCCCGACCTGACGGCGCTCCCCGCCTCCGCCAGGCCCAGGCCGCGCCCGCCCTCGACGCCGGCCAAGAACGGTGCCCCGGCCAAGAGCGGGACCGGGACCGGGAGGCCGGCGTTCATGGCGCCGCGCGGCGCCCAGACCGTGCGCCCCGCGCGGCGGCTCACTCCGGGCACCGCCGTCTACGTGCGCACCATCTTCCGGCCCCGCAACGTCAACATCAAGTGCCGCATCCTGCTGTGGCTCCGCGCGCGGGTCGTCTCCTCCCCCGACGCCTACCACTGCACCGTCAAGTACGCCGCCGACCTCAGCGACATGTTCGCCGGCAAGATCGTCAGCAAGCCCGCCGACCACGTCCGCCTCGCGCCACGCCCCACGACCGCCAAGCCGGCCAAGCCCATGACACCGGCGCTCGAGGCAAAGGAGGAGGCGTCGTCATTGCCACGACGATGATCCAGGGCGTCCTCATTCCCTGTACATGCTTCTTTGAGCAGAGATTTTGTGGGTGCTCATTCTTGGAGCAGAGATTTTGTGGGATGCTCATTCTTCGAGCAGAGATTTTGTGGCACTTAGTCTTGCGGATCAGTGCCACAGCCTTACCCGGCTTTCGATCGATCGTAGTAAATTTTCGATTGATCTTAGTGAACTCTTGATAGCTTTATGCGGCTTTTCGAATATTTCGCAGTGAAAAAAATCTTAGTTTTTCACGAGTCGATCGATCTTGACGTTGCTTGCTTCCGAGTACCGATGATCGTTGAAGAGTAATCTTCAATCGGCACGGGAGAAGATTGAGATGATGCCCGTGGCAGGAAAAGGCCCTAAAGGGTGAGAGAGTCAGCAGAGCTGCTTGTGCTGCTGATGCCGGCGCCAACGCAGATTCATAAAACATCAATGTACTGGTTTAATTGTTTAATTGTAATCATACTACACTGCTATGGCAATGTCATATCTTCCAGCGGCAAGATACGAAGATATTAAAATCTGGAGATAGCACAGCACAATTATAACACCATTGCAAAGAGTTAAACTCACCATGTAGTAGAACTACACAAACATTATAAAGTGATGACCCAGTAAAACCTGGTGCTCATGTATGTTGTGAACCAACCAAACGTAACAATAATCATCATAACCAGCAAAATGGATTCCATGGCATCTCAACATGCACAACCTTGGGTAAAAGCTTGGATGGAGAAACTAAAAGTTTCCAGACTGCGAACACAAAGAGTGGCTGGTGCCGGCCTAGGGGAGGAGTAAGGGGGTGGAGCAAAAGAGTGCCATCACACGAAAACCATGACCTCACAGCAGTGGTCGAGTAACATTTCACTATTTGGAGTCTATGATCAGGCTCTTGCCTCCTGAGCTACTTCTTCAAAAGTTTCTCCAGGAACAAGCTCTGGAACATCATCATCGTTGTCTTCCTTGGCCTGTGCCGCCGCACCAGCAGCAGCCACCTGCTTCTGCATCTCCTCGGCAATCCTCTTCAGGTGTTCCATGTTGTCAGGGCCTGGAAGAATAAAAAAAAGGCGTTTAAGTCTCTTTCATATCCTTAGACCTGGCTACAAGCTTCTGTTTGTATTTGATTGAACACACAGACAGCCACTGTTCCGGCTGATTTGTTGTGAAAGAAAAACACTGTTCCGGCTGAAAAAACAAGCTGAAAAAGACGGATTATAAGAGAAGCGAACAGGGCCTTAAGGCAACAGATACAATATGCAAAGAGTATACATCAAATCAATTCTCGTGTGTCCAGCAGTGCTAACCGTCAAGAGAATACGACAAAAGATAAAACAAGAAATGGTGGGATGCAGCAACAAATGTTTCTGATAATGTTAGAAAAAGACCAGGACATTAAATGATAACAAAGACATTAAATGGGCAGAACTTGCCTAATCAAGCGTAGCTACGAATCCTCAAATACGTTACGAGATGACCATTTTTTGGATAACAACCTAAACATTAAGTACAGTGTAACATACCAAGTTGGTTGATGATCCCAGGCAAAACATCTTGTAGCTCTGTCAATACACAATAAATAACGATTTGAATAAGTCAGCAGCATAAAAAAGAAAGCTGAGCTTTTTTCTATGTAAGTAGATGCAACATGCATCATTGGCTTTACTACATGTATACCATTTTAGAAACCAGAGCAGAAACCACTCAGATAGCAGCTTACTGAATAAAAATGCAGTTTTTAAAAAACAAAAGGACCCACAATTGTGTTCAGATTAACCAGGTGCAGAATTCTGTAGGTGTAAAGACTAGTAAACCAGATTTCGGATTTCCAAACATCTCACAAGGATTCAGCAAAGCTTAGCTGCTGTACTTGGGCAACCAGTGAACCAATCATATAGGTAGAACATGCACTGATCAGAAAACGTTATAGCTCTGAGAGTAACAACTAACAAGTTACTACATGACTGGTCAATCAAATGTAAACGAAGAATGAATATTCTTACTTTTCGTCAGTGGAGATCCACTGACCACCCATGTGTTTGCCGCGATGGAAGCTTGCACTGCATCAGCAGAGAAGAAAACATCAGCCAAACGAGTCAACAACAGCAGGATACCTCATTTTAACATGTAACAGTAACCAGCAACAACAGTGCAGGTGATGGCAGACCTTTGGGATTCAAGAACTGGATGACGAGATCGTCCTTGAAGATGTTCACCTCCTCGATTGCCGGGATGGTGTTGACCCCTACTCTCTTGAGCGTGCTCTGCAGCCTCTTGTCGTCCGTAGTGCCCGTCTTGTGGACAGCCTTCTTCTTCCTATAAACCCAAAGCTCAAGTTTTTATTATCACTGGCATCGCAGGCACAGATGAACACGAAAGCCAAGAAAGGTGAATCGAGTCAGTCAGTAACACCTACCTGCGCATGGTGCCCTTGCCGCCGGTGCGGACGGCGCCGGCCATCTTCATGAGCCTCTCCTTGTTCATCTGCGCAACGGAACGGAACCAACCAGTCGGTCAAACGGCGCAGGAAGCACGGATCTATCGCGAGAACTAATAGGTTCTAGCGCACCCAGAAATCGGGGTTGCGATCTCCGATTTAGTACGACGATGTCCGATTGAGGAGCGGAAGAAATGACTGACCTTGATGGTGGTGGGGGGCGGCGCGGGCAGGCGACGGTGCGCGAGCAGAGAGGGATGGGGGCAGGAGGAGGAGGCGGCGGCGGCGGCGCGAGATGGGCGGTAGGTTTTGGGGAGGATTATAGGGTTTTCAATTTTCCACGCAAGTCCCTGGAGTTTCTTCGTATTATGTAGCCCCTCTAAAAAGGCTTTCAATGGATCGCCCATCGGATTAGGTTGAGCGATGGGCCTGTATACTTCTTTCATATTCATGGTCTTCTTTCATCTTTGTGGATTTATGGATCATTTTTTTTTACGATAAAACAAATAGTGGTTTAAGGTTAACAAAAATCTTCAACTCGGTCTTCAGATCTTAGGTTTGAGTCCCCATTAGAGCGAATATAGAGGGATCAAATTTCCTCTCGCCGCTAAAGAGCGAATATATGTAGTGACTTCGTGAATTTCGAGATCTGCCGGCTCAGTCTTTCGGAGGTGCTCATAGGGGCAAGATTTACGTGCGTGTGCTCATAGGGGTGAGTGTGCGTGCGTGTTGGGCATCTGAGTGTAATTCTAAAAAGAAGAAGATTTGCTCTCGTCTCTAAAGCCCGGGTTTAGAGATTTGAGTTCTTTCTACCTTGATAGAAAATGCAATGGGGAGGTTATACCCCTTGGCAACTGGCTGGCAATGTTCACTATGGTTTACTGATTTAGGCAGTTTATGGTGAAAGAAAAATCTTGGCTGCAAATTATGATAAATTGTGGGTATGACAAGTAGGACACTATAATAGGAATTTAAGAATTTGTGTAACATTAAAGGTGTGGTAGCAAACCAGATAAATATAATTTTTAGACAAAGTAAAGTTACGTCCACAATACAATAGCTTGAAAGGTGGGTGCAGATTAATCCAACAACATATAAAGTACTTAAATACATGTAACAACTAGGCTAATTGGTGCATGTTCAGTCCAAACACTAAAAATATGTGTTGACATACTAGCACGTGCATTGTCCGTAGGACTGCTTGCAGTGGGGAATTTAATGCTATAAATTCGCACATAACCCTTTGGTTCTTCTAAGCGTGACTACAATGTCCGCCTCGTCAAGCCAACATACGCAACACAAAGGCGTCATTTTTACTGCCTTGAAAATATTCATATTATTGTAAATTTTATTGCAATTCATGTGGACCACAAGCACAAAAATAACAAATACAACTGAAGCTAGCTATTATAACCAGCAGAATCATTAATCTTCGATCTAAACGCCTGGATTGTGCCTTTGGAGGCTTGTAGACATATTTTCATGGGCTCTAAATATTTTATTCAAATTCATCATAATGCAATGTATCGCTATATTTTTAGTTTGGATTTTTTAGAAGCTTAGAAACATTTTTTGTGGTTTAAAAACCATATTAAGTATTTATTACATTTTCTAACCAAAAAGAAAAACTGCCTCCAAGACCGCTTGGGCAGCGAAGTAATTTGAATGATTTTTAGAGTTAATACAGTGCAATGTTTGATTTTAGAGTTCATGGAAGAATACAGAGTACGGTGATAGCTTAAGAAGGTAGAATGGATTATTTTCATTAAATAGTGGGTTGTCATTTTTATCATAATTTTATTGGTTTTAGGCTTTTTGACCCACCGGCCCCCGCGCTCTGCCTATCTCCGCAGCCAGCCACTGGCACTGCGAGCCTCTGACCAACTACCACCACCAGTCCACTACCACCACGGCGACGGGCGACGGAGATGACGCCGCCTCACCTCCCCGTCACCGTCACCGTCACCGTCGCCGTCCTTCTCCTCTTCCTCTGGCTCCCGGCGACCCCACCCGCTGCCGCTGACCCGACCCCGACCCCATGGCCCCCGCAGTTCCACGCGACGCTGGTCATGGACTACCACGGCAACATGTCCGTGGCCGACCTCTGGTACGACTGGCCGGGCGGCCGCAACCTGCACGTCATCCGCTACCAGCTCGCCGCCGACGCGCCCTACTACGATAACGAGTGGAACAACGGCACCTCTTTCTTCTACACGCCGGCGCGCCGCACCTGCCGCTCCGCCGCCGTCGGGGTCGGCATTCTCCGCCCCGACTGGCTCCGGCCTGGCGCCGTCTACCTCGGCCGCCGCGACGCCGGCGGATTCGACTGCCACGTCTGGGCCAAGGCCGACTTCATCACGTACTACGAGGACGTCAAGACCAAGCGGCCCGTCAAGTGGGTCTTCTACACAGGTAGCTTGTGGATTTCATTGATTTCCCTTCCTTCTCGAACACAATTGGCGTGCCGTTTTGACTTTTGAAGGCGGCAGGAGCGAATTTGCAGGATCCTACATGCAACATTGAGCTTACATGATCTCTAGTTCCCCGTTTAATCGTTTATTAGTTAAAAAACAATGGGAATGCTTAATCTACTTGATTATAGAAAAAGGCAATGTTTCAAATGCTGGTACATTGTTACTGTTGTACAGCTTAATTAGGGTGGGCAGGACCCAAATTGGAGGAATTATAACACATCAAGGAGACTAGGACTCTAGGAGATTGAATCTGCATGGCATGGTGCCACCTAAAATCTCTTGAGCAACTATTGTATAGTAGTACTACTCTTCTAACTTGGGTGGAATGCTTTCCTTCCAAGGATCAATGGTACCCTCCTCACATTATGCAATTTTTTATATATTAATTATACTTCATTCACAGATTAAGTCTATCTTACAGAAAGGACATCAAAGAGATCCCAATTTACAAAAAGCAGTGCACCCTATACTGGACAGTGGTGATGGTGTGGCCTAATAAATAAGTAAATGAAGACTTGAATTTCATTTCTGCCTACATCTTTTAGAAGTGTGAATTTTATTTCTTGCCAACGTCTTCTAGAAGACTGAATTTTATTCATGAGGTCTGGCGCTTCTATGTCTATAAACTTTGTGCACCAAGCACCATATGAAAAATCACCAGAAGGTTGGTCTCATTATTACGCCCAGTATCATACCTTCCAGTAGCATTTATTTTAGATGTAAACTAATTCCCAATAAATAGTCCAATTTAATCAAAATGGGCAGCAAGAGCCAGAGGGATGTCTCCACTATTCACTCAGCGTCTTGTTTTGGTTCCAAGCCAATGCATGCACATGCACTTGTTCGTTTAGGAATATTTAGGTCATCTCTGGACTATTATCAGTCGCATTTGCTCCAATTTATTTCCCATTTTCTCAGTCTCACTAACAGGCTTGAAGACAATCACCAAGTAGTAGAAAATGTGTTTCTGAACAACATTGTTAGCAACTTTGGCCCCTTAAACTTACTTGATTTGAAACCTGTCCACATTTTGTGGTAGCTGGTCCCCAATCAATTTGTGTTTATGTGCATGCTTCCTTTCAGCCAAGCACTGACCCATGAATATTGGTCGTTCCCATTCAAAATCAAGCACTGAAGCTCTTATAGTTGTAGGTCTAGCTTGTTGTTTTAGTGTCATCTTACAAAGGGCATGCAGAGCTGTCTAAAAGGGCGGGATAATGGAAAATACAGTGTATGCAATTATCAGACTCACCATTGGGCATCAACCTATCTGTCATTCTTCATTGATAAATCTTGTCTGGGCTTCTACCACTTTTGGTTGTCCGCCAAAGTAAAAGATGTAAATTATAAACAAGTGTCAAGTCTGTCACATTTTTTTCCAAGTTAGCTTGGTTAAGGTGTGAAGACCATCTAGTTGCCCCTCGATGTTACAGATGTCTTTTTGTATTGCTTATTGCATCACAGTCTTATTTTGAAGTTAATTAACTTGGTTAAGGTGTTACATTTAGAAACCTCTGGCTTGTCTGTCTATAAGCTTGTGCATCAAGCGCCATTTGGAAAATCACAGGAAGGCACATTGTCACATTATTCTTTCCAGAACCATAGCTGTCTTGTTTGAATGAAGTGGGATTGAGCTAGCTTAATTTGGAATTAAATTGTACCCAGTAAATACGCCACTTGAATCAAAATGGCCAGCAAGACCCAGAGGAATGTTTTCACTATTTACTCAGTGTCTTGTTTTCTCCATGTCACAGCATGCTTGTTGTTTCAGGAATATCTAGGATTGTAGGTCATCTTTGGACTATTACCAGTTTCATTTGCTCCAATTGTTTTGCCCATTTTGTCATTTTTGCTGTCAGACTTGAAGACAATCACCAAGTACTGTAAACTGTGTGATTCTGAAGAACTTTGTTTAGGAGGTTTGGCCCACAAACCTACTTGATATTGAAATTCGTCCAAATTTTGTGGTAGCTGACCCTCAATCATGTTAGCATTTATGTGCATGCTTCCATTCAGCGAAGCACTGACCCATGTACATTGGTTGTAACATGCCCCTACAGAAAGTTCTTGTTGTAGGCCTACTTTTTTTTTTTAATGTCATCTTACGAAGGGTATGCAGAGCTGTCCAAAACATTGGGATAGTGGACAGCACTGTCTATGCTAGTCTGAGACCCCTCATTATCGCTGGGCATCAACCTATCTGTCATTTCTTCAATGATAAACATAGTGTTAGCTTCTACCTCTTTTAGCTGCCCCTTATTATTAAAGTAGAAGATGTAAAGTATAACCAAGTGTGTCACATTGTTTTTTTTTTCCAAGTTAGCTTGGTTATGGCATGAGGACCATCTAGCTGTCACTTGAAGTAGCAGAGGTCTTTCTGTATTGCCTTTGCGTGAAATCTTTCTGTATTGTTTATTATATCAAATTCTTGTTGTGAAGTTAGCTTGGTTAAGGTGTCACCAAAGTGATACAGCAAGTAAATTCAACTAAATTTGCCATGCTCAGGAGTCCAGAAAAAAATCAAATGAAGCTATACTTCTTGTTTACTCCTTTGGTGCTAAGCTAGTCAGCATTGCCACACTCCTTTTTTTTTCATAACAGCATCGCCACACTCATATTGCTGTCCCTGAACTACTGGCACTAGTTGGCTTACAGCTGAGTGTTAGGACGGATATGACACTTTACCATGACAGCCAAGTAAGCACTTATTTCGTGCACGACAGATATTGGCACGCTTCTTGTTAGGCTCTGCAGCCCGGCCCCCAAATGAAGGAGGAACAAACACTATAACTTGCCTTGCAGTCCAGTGATAATAACCACAGATATATACGGGTGCCAGCTGAAGCCACCATGAGATCTCTGGGCGAGAACCCGCTTTCTTCTGTACTGTAACCTCTGTGCATTTTGCCGATGTGCAGGTAGGATCGCCTATGTGATGAGCTTTGAGGTGGGAGCCGTGCTAGAGGACGCGGCGTGGCAGGCCCCTGAGTACTGCTTCACCAAGGACGGTGGGCTGGCTGCCGAGACCACAACCAAGATCTCTGATGGGCATCATGGCAGCAGCTTCATCCCCAGGAGCGTGCTGTGAGGACTCGATGACTCATCTTGCGGCCATGCATGTTGTCGTCCTGGTCCCCGGACCCGGTACGGCCTTGCCGCCTTGGCCTATTTGGGCATGGAGATCAGGAGATGCGGTGTAAACAGGGTGACTATGCCTTTCATACATGACACATGCCCGCATTTACCATTGCCTCTTGTGCAGTAACGTTTTGCCTGTGTCTTGTTATCTCTGACCAAATGAAGCGAGGCGTACAAAACTGATGGAGTAGTAGCGTTGCATTGCATTGCATTGGATTGGATCCCAAATCCCATGTCATGTACCACGTGACATTTTTGGTGTGGCCTGCGTAAACCCTAGACAGTGAACCCACCTCAAAATTGGGCGCAGTCATAGGCCTGGAAAGTAAGTAGATCAGGACGCCAAGGAACACTGCATCTCTGTATCTGTATGAGATGGGAGAAGAAGCAGAGAGGCGAGTCGTGGTTTGAGATGAGATTCTTCGTCATGGTTCCGTTGTGTGCGGGAGCTCAATATGTGCTGTGATTTGTGTTATTATTGTGTAGGAGGAGGACTCATGTTGCATTGTAGGCAGATTTCAAGTTTTCTACAGTCTATGTGTGGCCAAAACAACTTCAGACTGGGGATTCCTGCGCATATTTGTTGCGAGCCTAGGATCCATTCAGAGTCTATGATTGATTGATGAAAGAAGTAGCCTGGCACTGACTGAAAGAACAGGAGGGTAGTGTAGCGACAGGATTCTATTCCGCGCGTCGTCATTCCATCCTACACTACACGGTGATTCTCTCTCTCTCTCTTTTTCTTTTCTTTTTTTTTTCTTTTTTTTTGCTTCTTCGGCTCTAGGACATTGACTATATGTAGCATGGAGGCGGAGCCGGGGCAGAGACGAGAGGAATCCCAACCTGCCTTAAATTTGACTATATTTATTACAGAAAGCATTATCAATAGTTATGAGTCTAAATAAGTGTACTAAGAAATAAATTCAATGACGAGTCTAAGGACGCTTACTTTACGGAGGATCTTTTTGTTTATATGAATCCCATTAACTTTTGGGATGGTTTGATGTAGCACTATGCTATAATTACATCTTTTTCACGACAGATGGAGTAGTAACCTCGATCACTAATTTTCTATAAGGGGTGGTTTAGTTGGCGAATTTTTTTAAGAAATGGTACTGTAGCTCTTTCGTTGTTATTTGGCAATTAGTGTCCAATTATAGTCTAATTAGGTTTAAAAGATTCGTCTCGTGAATTTCGTCTAAACTGTGTAATTAGTTTTATTTTTTATTTATATTTAATGCTTCATGCATGCGTCCAAAGATTCGATGTGACGAGAAATCTTGAAAAATTTTGCAAAATTTTAGGAACTAAACAGGCTCTAAATATCCATAGATTTGACTACGTCTCCATCTTACATAGACTGAGACGAAAGAAAATAAATACCTTCACACGAACACTACCACCGCTGCACCACCAAAGTCAAGGCTTGTTTAGAACTTCACGAATTTCATATGAATTTCATGGGAATCAATTCATTCAGCCAGTTCGTTTGTTGGTTTCAGCCAGCCCAAACCAGTCAGCCAACAATGTTTTTCTCTAAAAAAAAAACCAGCATCAACCAGCGAACAGACCCATTTTCACAATAAATCAAACCCAGAAACAGCGAAAATCCCACGTCCGCGAATCCCAATAGGGCCTCATCCCACCTACTAGGCACCTAGTACGACTAGTTGATTTTTTTAATTTTTTTTTGTATAGCAAATACTCAATCATTCTAAAAAATATATAATTCTCATTTTTTGAGAAACCAGATAAATTCAAATTTGACTAAACTTATAAAAACGCTAATATTATCTTTTATGCCAAATAAGTGTCATTAGATTAATTACGAATACTAATTTATTTCCTATAAAAAAATAATCAAACATAAAAAAAATGACTTGTCTTAAACCTACGATTGCATGTCTTTTATGATACCAGAGGGAGTAGAATTGACTGCAGACTTTCTGGCTTCTGTACGTACCAGTATGACTTGGGTGATACCATAGAGAAAGGGACAGAAACAAAAGCTAAGGAAGACCTTGACACAAGTAGTACGTACGTACGAAAACCCTAAATTTGTGTACGTCTTGATCATCAGAGCAGCTTTCGTTGTTTGCAGCACACACGGCAAATCCTCACAGCTGAGTTGCTCACTCGTGGTGGGTATGGGTTAAAGAAAAAGCCAGATTCATTATTAAAAAAGGAAAAAAGTCAGAATGATTGAGTGGGTTAACTAATAGAGAAGAAAAAAAAATCTACGCAAGGTCGCCGACAGCAGGCCAATTCGATGGGAACATCATATCCCAGGACTAGTGAAGCCGGTGCTGCATAGGCTATGAATGAGCATCGAGCACAGTCGCCCCTCGTCAATGTGTCGACAGTACGTGCACTAGCTAGTCCTAATCCTAATTACTGCCATTGATTCACTACCGGCACCAAAAGGCCTACTATAGCTAGCTAGGTTCAATTCATGCAGGACCACCTGCTGTTTGGTTCCCTCTACAAGGTAAATATCGGACCAAGACCGATAGAAATCAGACAAGGAGACCTTCGACGGCGTGCGTCTTGATTTATTTCTGGTGGAAAAGAAAGGGGGCGAAGAGAACGAACCTTTTTTTTTGAAACACCAAAAAAAAATCTCCAACCAAGAATAAGGTCACAAAGCTGAGCTTCGAAGTTCCATATGGTATATGGCATAATCGACGACTTTGCCTTCACCGTTGAACGCTAACCCATCAGTGTTCTGCAGTTCTGATGTTTAGCTCTACCAAAGAATCGATCGCAACGCGGAACACTCATTTTTTAAAATAAGTGCAGAGAAATATATGTGAAATGATTAAAACACTTACGGTATGTAGTAATAACTAGCAGGTAACTCCGCGCTTCGCGCGGGCAACAGTGGACGTTGTGAGTAAAAAGGTGGTACAGTTCCTTATCGGATCGGATACTGTTCATCTGATCCATACTGTTTATGTGGTGCTGTTCTTTATCGGGTCGGATACTGTTCATCTGATCCGTTACTGCGTCGGACGAACAGTTCCTCAAATTGATAGTCTTTTATAGATTTATAGTCTTTTATAGATAGCAATGTATCAAGTGCAAACCAACATCTCCGTACAAACCGTGCAAACCAACTGCGGAGGAGAGGTCGGAGGGGGATTTACAAAAGTGTAATTATGAGCGGGCGTAATTACACTTTTGCAAATCCCCCCTCCCACCTCTCCCCCGCAGTTGGTTTACACGGTTTACACGGAGAGGTTGGTTTACACTAGATATGTTCCCTTTATAGATAACCTAACGATCGATGTTATGGTTACTCATGGGTCATGGCTTGCCCGTGCAGTTTTTTTTTCTTCAAATTTTGACCGCATATACACCCGGACATATTAATATACTTATGTCGTATAATTAGTACTATCAGACGAATTGTTGAATATATATTTTATAATAATTTTTATTTAAATATGTAGATGTTAATAATATTATTTTATAAATTTACTTAATAATGATTAAAAAAAATTTGATCAGAAACCTATACATTTTTTTTTGAGAGGAGAAGAATCAGGTGAGGCAGTGCCATAAATAGGAGGGCGGCCGGGCAACAGCAATTTCGTTTCGTTTTCACCCGGGGGCCGGCGGCGGGCGCACAGCACAGCTCAGCTCGTCTCTCGTGTCGTTGAGATCGAAGAGCTGGAGCCTGGAGGCCGCCGCAGCCGGCCCGCTCCTCCTCCTATAAACCCCCCCTCCCCTGCGGCTGCGCGCCCGGGTCTCCGGCTCCCGTCGCCCATATATTTCGTCCACCTCTCCCATCCATCCGTAATAGCTGAGGTCGTCGGCCATGGCGGAGCGCCAGCAGCAGCAGCAGGTGGCGAGCGACGGCGACGCGGCGGAGTGGAAGCAGGTGGCGGAGCTGAGGGCCGTCACCCAGGCCCAGGACCCTTCCTGCAAGGTTCGTCCGCTCTCTCTGTTCCATGATTCCATCCATCCATTGCTCGTGAGTCGTCAGTCATATGGCTACCATAGCATAGCATATGTCTTGGCCTTGCCTGAATCTGAATGGGATCCACAACGAACACATAACATAGTTAATTAGTAACAGTACTTACAGTTACGGTAATTGTAAGTACTATTACTGCTATTATTAGTAGCCAAATCATAATTGGGCCTCGATCAGAATGAACACCAACCTGTAGCTACCTAAGATCAGGAACTCTGAGAATCATATGCTGATTATTGGCATGCATGTCAAGACCTCAAGATGGAGCAGCCTGCTGTAGACAAATGAGTCATCGCCACTGTTAACTAGAGCTTCTCGTCGCCATTTGCTTCCCTCTGGCACAGAGCCGGCTGCATATGATAATTGATATGCCCCAAGTGGTACCCCTGGTACGGTGGTTCTTGGCCGTCAGGCCGTCCGGCCATCGCTTCTGGCGTTGATGGCCGGACCTGTCACACTTTGCTCATTTGTGGCCGGCCGCGGCCGCTGGTGGTTCAGCATCGATCCGTGTCCAGGACTCCAGGTAGTTAGCGGTTTGCTCATCTGCCCAGCCAACACCCAACGTACAGGTGGTACTGGTTGTGGTTGTGGTTGACCCGCCCATCGCTGCCTGTGTCGTTTCCAAACCTGCGTGCTTCGCACGACGCCTCGTTTTCCTTTTTCCCAAGCGAAGGAAGTGAAACCCAGGGATCGGAACTGAGAAAACCCAAGGAACTGAAACTGACTGACCGGCCGGCCGGTAAAAGCTTGTGTGCCCTGTTTCAGATCGGGCTCTCCGCTTTCAACTCTACTCGAACACTACAGCGTGCATTATTATTTTCTAATCACGTACGTGTGCCAGGGAGCCCAAGAAAATTCAGCCACAGATCGCATGCGATTGTGCTAGCTTGTGCACCTAGGGCGTGTTTAGTTTCGAAATTTTTTGGCTTTTAGCTACTGTAGCACTTTCGTTTGTATTTGGCAAAAATTGTCCAGTTATGGACTATTTAGGCTTAAAAGATTCGTCTTACAATTTCTCGGCTAATTGTGTAATTAGTTTTTTTTTCGTCTACATTTAGTACTCCATACATGTACCGCAAGATTCGATGTGACGGGTACTGTGCAAAAAATTTTGGGTTTTGGGGACATCTAAACGGGGCCTAACTTGCTCATCTCATCTATTCCTCCACCATTGACTTCACCCCTTGATTCATCATCACGATATATAGAAAATTAGATTCAGACAAGTATATTTATGATGATAGCAACAGATAGCAGTACTGCGTGTATATGATTCTTTTTTTCTTTCTTTCAGAGCGTGTGTGATGGAAAATGTGCACAGATATTAAACCCAAGAAATAATTAAAAAAAAAGGATCCGCTGCCAGTAGGCAGCTACTAGTACTAGTACAGTTGGGTGGATGGCCGGCGCAGGCAGCCGTGTGGTGGGGAGAGTGGTGTGGGCTTCTTCATTTCATTTCGGCCATGCATCACTCGTGGTGCACAGAAAAGCCCCCCATAAATGCTGCCCACGACTCAAGGCGTCTGTCAATCCCCCTCCCTCTTGTAATATTAATCTCGCGTCACACCGGCCTAACCAATTGATCACGACGTGACGATGATGAAATGAAACTGCCACCCAAATCCATTTTATTTTACTCCACTCCTAGTGAACAACTGAATGATTTATGGGCAACCATCACTACTGGATTCAGGCGATTTGTCGAGTGCCTAATGCACTCGGCAAAGGCTACTTTCCCCTCGACAAAGCCTTTGCCGAAGACAGCACTCGGCAAAACGTCTCCGGTAAAAAATCCGTCGGTAAAGAATTCTTTGCCGAGTGCCTTTTATCGGATTTGCCGAGTGCAATCTCGGCACTCGGCAAAGAAAAGTCCCCGTCACGGCACCGGTTCCGTTAGCACATGCTTTGCCGAGTGTCGTGTCAGCCTTATTTTGTTCATTCACATGCATCTCAGAAACGCATTTTTGAAGACAAAAGTCAACCTGCTCATTTACCTATGCAATTGTTTCCCATATCACGTAATGCACACACAGGAGGAGGACGACTACACGCTGCGGCGGTTCCTGCGGGCGCGGGACCACAACATCGGCAAGGCGTCGGCGATGCTGCTCAAATACCTCAAGTGGAAACCAACAGCGAAGCCCCACGGCGCGATCCCGGCGTCGGAGGTGGCACGGGAGGTGGCGCAGGCGAAGCTGTGCCTGCAGGGGTACGACAGGGAGGGCCGGCCCCTGATCTACGGCTTCGGCGCGCGGCACCACCCGGCGCGGCGGGACCTGGAGGAGTTCAAGCGCTACGTCGTCCACGTCCTGGACGCCACCGTCGCGCGCCTGCCCCCGCCCGGTCCCGGGCGGCAGGAGAAGTTCGCCGCCGTCGCCGACCTCAAGGGCTGGGGCTACGCCAACTGCGACATCCGGGGGTACCTGGCGGCGCTGGACATCATGCAGAACTACTACCCGGAGCGCCTCGGCCGCGTCTTCCTCGTCCACGTGCCCTACGTGTTCATGGCGGCATGGAAGATCGTCTACCCGTTCATCGACGACAACACCAAGAAGAAGTTCGTGTTCGTGGCGGATAAGGACCTCGACAGGACGCTCCGGGAGGCCATTGATGACTCCCAGCTCGCGGAGATCTATGGCGGCAAGCTCAAGCTCGTCGAGCCGGCGGCAGACGACAGCAACTGAAAACTGATTGATCGAGATGAAGTGAGCAGAGCGCGCGCGCTATATTCATAGACGGACGGACACTTGAGTACGTGTCAGAGATTGAAATATATGATGCTATATATATCGTAGCAGCTAGGCGAATTAGCAATTGCAAGTGATGTCATCTTGTACAAGACACGCAGAAAGAAAGATGCATGGCTTCTGTAATCTGTATGCTCTCCTCTGTAACCAGACAGTGATCAGTGCAAATAATATTACACTTCTAGGTGCCTGATATTTTTATTCTTTAGAAAACATGTTTGTTGCCTGGAAATTCAGGCCCCTGAAATACAGTAAAAATATAATAATATCATTACTGCGTGTAGTTAATAACTGCAGCGTCATAGACTCTGAATGCACTTGCGTGGCTGTGGTCTGTAGATCCAATAGCTTCAGTTCTAACCTGCAGACTGAACTCGAAGGCCGGTCAGAAACTGTGAATGCACTTGTGATGGATGGATGCTCACAGTCGCAGCAGGTGCCTGCTGGATTGGACGCTGGAAATTCAAGGCAGCGATAGACCATACTAGAGCAGTACTACAGGGACGTTGCGGCAGCAGGGCAGGGAGACGGTAGGCGGAGGACCAGTCATTGATGGCTGAAGGGGAGCTTTTAGCCCATCTCTGTCCGGCCTCCGGCGTGATTTGCAGTTCGCATGAATGGTGGCAGGGCAGGTGGTCCGGTCACCGGTGGACCGTGGACACGCAGAGGAGATGACACAGGACAGACATGATCACACACAGGACCAAGTGACCAACCATGCTCACTTTTACTCTACTTGGGGACCCTGCTATGCTAGGCAAGGCAAGGCTGCTATTGTTATGTAGTAGAGTACATTGCCAGCCCATAGCACGGCCCGCAGAATTGCACCGACCAAACCAGTGGGCTGTTTCTACCGTCTCACAAACCACGGAACCATTTGAGCTCTTTTGTCTTGAAGTTAATGGAACAAGTTTCAGGCTTTCGGCTTAATTAATAATAGAAAAGCATCAGATGCTATTGATACAGACACAACAATATATTGTAACACCATGCCGATTAATCATAGATAACACTCTGTTTTAAACACCACATACAAATGTTAGTTTTGAAGGTTTCTTTTTCATATGCCAAATTTCTTACTTAGCTTTGTTCATTTTTTTTCTTACTTAGCTTTAAGTCTATTGTTCACACGGCCAAGATCTTATATTGTGTTTTTAGAGAATTTTTTATGCTCAGCTATTTTGTTGTCAAATGTATTTTGTATACTATGACTTAACTATAAGTACTTAGAGCATCTTCAGGAGTTGGTAAAACAACTTCCTATCTTTATTTTTTAGCAAAACAGAAAAAAGTCTCCTCCAACAATTTGGTAAAAGAACTCCTTAAAAATAAAAAGTTGTCAACAACTTATAGATTTGCAAAGTCGAAAGAACTCCCTATCTCTCCTCCGTGGACCTGTTTTCACGGTGCTTCTCGCGTCAGAGTTTGTTTTTGCCGTGAGATATATCGTTAGCTTGGTCTATTTCGTCGCCGCCCGTTCGACTATCGCTGCCCTTCCGCTCTGACACCACTAGTACTTACCTATCCTCCGGCCTTGCAGCCTTGTTTTCACGGTTGTGTACCTGACGGTGGCATGGAGAAACAGCCAGATGCATGGCTAGGCACCGAGGCTGCTCTGCGGTTGCAGCAGCCGCAGGTCTGTGGTGCCAGGTGATGGTCGTCGACGCTCGGCAGAGCACTCACACACGGAGGGACGAAAGGACGGCGGTAGTGGCACGGATTCCAAACCGATCTGAAAATAAATCAGACGTGGACCCTGCTTTAGATTTTACAAAGTTAAAATAGAAAACTGTTGGAGAAGGATAAAATATAAGGTTGTTATTTCTTTTATTAACTTGCTAAATCGATTAGTTTAGAAACAAAATTTTACCAAATTCCGGAAGATGCTCTAACATTAATTTTTTTTCACCACTTATGTACTTATAGATTCAATTGAAAAATTGGGCCCCTTATATTTCACTTCAGGCTCCGCCATTTATTGTTCACAAGGTGCTTATACATTGAATATGTGAACCGACAAAGATCAAGCTCGAGTCTATTTCATTGCCGTTGATGTTCATCACCTTTCTCTTTCTTTTTATAGACTATTTCTAGTAAAAAAACCATGTATCTTGAAAAGCTAAAATAACTTAGGGAATATATTAGTATTTTTTTTGAGAAACCCGAAAAATATATTACATAAACTTCTTAATGTTTACACCAAATCTTACAAAGACCCTCTCAGGGAAAATGAAACTACAACCCAGTCCTTGCAAGATCATGGTCCTCCCGGTTGACCTCGTCGCCGGTGATCGGAGCAATCTGCAGCTTCAAAGCTGACCCCCTTCCAGACCAAAGCTCTTCACAATTTTTCAATACCGCCATGAGTCGCATGTCGAGTGCATCGACATACTGTAAGCTCGTTGAACGTCATATGGCCGCCGGCCATCACATCGCCGGTAAAACAAGAAATCTGGCACCTCAAGGGCCACTAGCAGCCCTGACTCACCGGAGAAAGATACAACCTGAAAGGAAGCAAAACCACCAGAGAAGGTGGGATCCAAACCCAACCCGGTTTCTCTACGAGTTGGTAGACATACCTTCCCAAATTTATCCATATATCCATTGCTGTATTCTGGATTACAAGTCCAGCACTATCGTTGGCACCATGGGCACCAACGGCACCAAGAAAGTCACATGGAAACTGAACACCAACGCAAAAGATAAAATCGATGACATACCCATCGATGTTGAGACCCCCACAAAAGATATCACCATCAATCACCACATGCACCTCATATAGCAGCAGGACTCACTCACCACGAACACAGGCAATAGTAGACAAACTCTGGAAGGAACAATGAAAGTGCAATTAAGTCCTAATTGTGGGTTTTGGTGATAATGGCCACACAATTAGAGAACTAATGAGATTTATCGAGATGACAAGCAGGGAATTTAAATTCGAGGATGCTACACGAAATGGAGGAGCCCTCAATTACAATTGTAGATGGCTTCAAACTCAAATGAGGTTTAAATTCTTTTATATTTTGAATTTGAGTATAGAAAAAGCCATACTATAAAGAGGGACACAATGCTTAAGCTAATATGTGCTACCAAGTGCTCAAACAACCACATGCATCCTCAGATTCATAGCCAAGACAATCTACACTTCACTATTACCTTGCTGTCTTGCGTGGTGCGGCACTGCCGCACTTGAAGAGAGGCACTGCTGCACTTGAGTCGCGGCACAAGGAAGTTAGTGCCCACGCTGACTTCCTCGAATAGCTCGAGACGCATTAAAAGGTCTCGCCCGACCCCAAGGTCGTGGGCTCTGTCTCGTCCGACCTCGAGGCCGCGGGCTCCGTCTCGCCCGACCCCTTGGGTGCGGGGTCCATCTCGCCCGACCCCTTGGGTGCGGGGTCTGTCTCGCCCGACCCTAAAGTCATGGGCTTCATCTCACCTGACCTCGAGGCCACGGGCTCTGTCTCTCCCGACCTCGAAGCCGCGGGCTCCGTCTCGCCTGACCCCTTGGGTGCGGTGGCCGTTGGGACTGGGGGGTATATATACCTAAAAGGTCCTTATTTGGTTTTGGTAATTGAGTGACAACCTAGGTGGACTAATTGTATTTGATGTGAGATACACAGAAAATTAGTCCACAGGTACATATGTATGAGCAACATATGTCATGGTGGTGAAAATAGCTCGGAGATGTTGTAAAGCTCACACATGTGATGAAGGAGCTCATTGCATATGAGACATGACATGGGGTCATGTGACTAAGGTGGAGAAGATCAAAATAAGGCTTGGCTTGATGGACCAGTTGCAAGCGTGAAGGGCAAGTTGGAGGCTTTGGAGCGATGGACCGTGTGGTAGTGAAGCTTGAGCAAAGACTTGGCATTGATGGACTGATGCAACGGTGAAGAGAAAATGAGGTCAAAATCGATGAACCAATAAGGTCACATGATGATATAAAAGTGGATCATATCATTATTGATCATGTTGGTGCATGTGTTGCATCGACATTGGAGGAGATGGAATGAAATGCGCAAGGCAAAGGTATAACCTATAGGGCATTTTATTTCACCGGTCATAGGTGTGTAGAGAAGTTTATGACCGGGTTTAGGATAGATGGTCGTACTATCAAAAGGGGCAAACTTGTTTACATATTGGTCATCTAGTGTCACTTGAGCGATCTAACTTTGCGATGTTGCTAGAATCGAGTGGCGTGGTAAATTGAGTGACTAATCCTTTGAAAATGTTTGTGAAAATGCTAACACACTTGCACTTGGTGGTGTACACTTGCTGGTGTTGGCACATTTGCAAAGAACAAGAAGTTGGAGTTGTTGTGGATCAACTTAGAGAAGAGAAAAAAGTTTTTCGGAGTACTCCGAACTATAGGATGGTCCTTGGATTGGAATACTATTTTGATCTATTATGATTTGGATCAAGTATACATGTGGGATATGTAGACCTCTGAGTAATATTTCCAAAATGTCCAAGATCATCGAAATCGGAGTTCGGAGCTAAAAGTTATAGCCGTTTTAGCGCTAAAAGGTTTGTGACCGGACTCTGCGACCTGCGCGTCTGGTCAGCACCTGCGAGTCCGGTCACAGAGTCCGGTTAGTGTTTTTAACACGTCCAGGAGTGACCGGACGCATGGAGAGTCTGGTCAGTGATGACCTAACGCGTCCGGTCATCAAAAGAGCTCTCTGGTACCTCTCTGAAAATGACCGGACGCTGATATAGTCGAGTCCGATCATAGGATAAAGGTCAGTCCGATCAGTTATGCAGAAATGCGTTGGTAACCAGACTCGGCCTTGGCGCGATCGGTCATTGGACCTAGGCGCGTCCGGTCAAGAGTATGCGTGCGCGGGAGCTAGCCGTTGAAGCCCAACGGTAGGCTTTGAAAGGGGGACGTGTGGCGTCATCCTAGCGACTGGACTCTGTGACCTGTGCGT